CCCCAAAACCCCAAAACCCCAAAACCCCAAAACCCCAAAACCCCTAAATTTGACAAACTCTTGACAATAATAAACTATGAAATCAAGTGTACTAAACCCTCTCGACGGTATTATCTTTTTTCTCATACTATAGACTCATTACTTTCCAATCCTCACCATCTCTCAAGCCACGACTTCCTCGACCTCTCCGACCAATCCTCCCTACTCAAAGTCCACCAAGCTACAGCTGTTGTCGATGAACAAGACCTCAGACTCGCCTTTAGGTCTAAGAAAGACTTCATGATCGGCGTCTTGTGGCTGTCAGCCTGCATCCTAAGCTCAGCCACTATCGGCCCAATCGTGCTGATGATTCCTGCCAAAAGTACTTACGTGTCTATTTCATGGAGGAACCAAGGCTCGTGTTTGATATTAGCCATGTGGTCCATCCTCAGCTATATCAGATATAGTAGGCAGAGCGATACCAATAAATATGATCTGAACGAAAACAGGTGACTAACTACTTGGTAAGATTTTTTGAATTGATCCAAGATGTTAACTTTTAATAGGGAAAAAATTAAGAAAGACTTTTCACTAAGAAATTTAATGGCTTCCTCATTTATGTCACTCTTTGGATGAGTCTGGGGCTTTGGACTTGTGCTCGGATGTAAATACACTCTCACAGCTCATGCAGATGTACTTTATTGCAGCACTGGAGTATTCATTCTATTGATTGCAATTTTGACATGACAGTATGTTCATCAATATGAAGTTATTGGTTACATAATATATGGCGTTGGAGCAGTCATTATGCTTAGTGATCCTTTGGCTAGCAAAATTGGAGAAGAAATGAACAAACCACTTGGTAATTTGATTGCTATCATTGGAGCACTTGGAGGAGCCTTATATGGCATAACCTCGACCAAAATTAAAAGAGACAACCCCCAACAAGTTGCTCTACTACACATTTTCGTAGGAAATTTTCTTTTGCAGATCACTGTTTATCCTCATTTTGAAGCCAATCCTTTGTTCTTCAGTTTTGACCCAGAGTTTGGAATCTTTGGTTGGCTTTCAGATCCTTGGATAATTTTTATGATCCTTTGATTAGTATGTCCATGGACATCCATCTTATCAAATTATGCTTTATTAGAGGCCTACAGATATTGGACACTCGACATTGTTGCTGTTTTCTTTCTAACAGAACCCTATTTCGCTGAAATCACAGCTATTTTACTCGGCCAAGACGAAATCCCTGGGTTCCAAACATTTATCGGAATCGGAATACTCAGTGTCGGAATCCTGTTGTCAATCAATGGGTCTAAAATCAAAGCCTTGGAAGCAATCAATCCAATGAAGAAATGCCAAGAAGTAGACGATATAGAGTTGTCCGAGAGCATCTAAGATGTAAAATATAACTATTTTATCATAATATTCACATGAACTTTACACAGTTTTTACAGAATCAAACAACCGCTTGTTTCATGAATCTAATTTTTTGTAATTTAAACGAGGCAAACTGGTTAGTTATTAAAATATTTTTGGTCAATTTTCTTATTCCCATCCGGGGTTTTGGGGTTTTGGGGTTTTGGGGTTTTGGGG